CTGAAATTCATATAAGCATTCTCTAATCACAGTGAAGTGATGGACTTGCTGAAAGGTGAGTGCAAGCCGTCAGAGTGCTTCAACTTCCTTCTTGCATGCCTTTTATATGCTTTCAGAAGGTGTATCCCAATTTAAGCTGTGTCTCCTAGCCTAACATCTGGATTAAAGGTGTGTGTCTTCAGGCCTGATGATCCTGTTCTTATGCTTGGGTTTTCTAACTCCAAAATTGGGATTTCAAATGGATCTCCTACTCCAACTCATACAAACCATTGCTCACAGTTGTACCATCCGTTTTAGCATTTTTTAGTTAATTCCAGGGGTGGTCTATTTGGAAAGCAAGAATAACCATCACAAGTGCATTTTGCTTGCCCGAATTATTCTTCTATAAATAAAGAAATGATTTCTACTCCTAGACAGTTGTTATTACTCTTCTCATATTGTTAAATATTCCTACCAACCCACTGTGGTGGCATATACCTTTAATCCCAGCAATTCAGAATCATAGGTAGGCATTTCTCTGTTATTTCAAGGCCAGCTTGGTATGAAGAATTAGTTCTATGACAGCCAGAGCTGTTACACAGAAATTCTGTTACACAGAAATACCTGTTTGTGAAAAAATGTATTCTTCCCAAGAACATGATCCAGGAATGGAACTTTTTTCTGTCATTGTTCTCATTGTTCACAATATGGAGCTCAGGATGGAAGAAACCCTCTATGGTGGGCATTAAGCAGAACCAAGTAGGATTCTCTGAAAATGACTGTCTTCCTTCCTAACATTCATTCCATTCATACTCACTGTCCTGGGGATGGCTCTGCCAAATTTCACTGGTGGTCTTGCCCTTCCTGTTCTGTTAATCCTCCTTGAAAACAAATTCTGATCCACTTAAGTGTGTGCTAACAGAAGGCCCTAAAGGCCCCTCATTGTGCTCATGCTGAATGCCAAGATAAAGCTTCTCATTACCTGATAATTTTCATCCCTCACTTGTAAGTCTGTCCTCTTCAATATTTGAACTCACAGGCTTACTCTGCTAGGCTTAAAATTGTAAGAGCATTCTGATTTGCAAAGGGTTCAGAATATATTCAACAGTTCCTGAAACGCATCTTCCTTCAAATATGGGGTCTTGAAATTAAAAAATATAATCCCTTCAATGGAATGTTTTCTGGGATAGAGTACCTCCTTCCCTGAACTGAATCCACCTAGTGAAGAATCATCTATGCTATTAAGTGGCCACCTGCAAGAATTCTACCAAAGAAAAGAAGCAAAAATAAGCAATCAAACCAATTGATTGAATTATCTGCTAACGACAGATAAGTAGTGTTGCAGTCAGATTTACAGAGAGTCAGACTGGGAATGGCTGTGCTGATTCAATCAATAAACTTATTTCCTTGTAGTGTAGGCTTAGAGGTACTCTTCAAGATAAGATAACTGGAGAGACAGGACTGGTACAAGAGAATTTTGATCATTGCGCTTCAGAAGGAAATCCATGTAAAGCACCTTCCTCTATGGTTTCTGTTGAATATAGTCTGCTTTTCATGGAAATGAGAATAATCTCTCTTTTTAGGGACTAGAAGAATAAGTACATGACCTACTGAGATTCAATGTAATTGATTGACCGGAGAATGATTTAGGATATTCATTAACCACACATAGATGGGGCTTAAACATTTTTCTAGGCATGATCATCTGAGAAGCAGGCAAAAGACCACCACTCCAGTTTGTTGGAGTAATCCAGTGACTGTGGTTTTGGATGGTATATAGGTTAGGAAAGAGCTGAGCCACCATAAGGACTTCCTGGCTCTGCTTCACATTCACCATTTATGTGCACTTTATCTGATGTCTATTCTGTGAAAACTAAGACCACTGACATACTCAGGAGAACCCTTCTTCCCTCATGATGTTTATAGCAGCACTCATTGTAAACACACTTGAGATGGGTATTCTTTGTTCTCAACTTGGCAATATCTGAAATTAACAATACTCAAATGTGCAGAGCACACCTGTGAGCAATTATTGCGTAAGTTGAAGTAGACAGACCCACTTGAAATGGTTACTTTTGATGGAAGAAGACACACACCCTTAATCTGGATCTAGAGGCTGGGAAGACACCTTTATTTCAGCCCTTAATTTTATTAATTATTACACATTATTCATTACTTACATAATCTTCTTGATGAGCACGTCTCTGCTCAACTATGTTTAAAAATTGTGCAAAACTGGAGTCTTCTTTTTTTTCCTTTTATTTATTTTTTCTTTCTTTTAACATTTAGAGATTAAGCCACTCAAGAAAAAACAGCCTCATCTCAATTAAGTGATTCCCTTGATCCACTTAAACTTCCTGAGTATTCCAGGCTTCCACTACAGATTGCTATTATGTCCTGAATATAATTTACAACAGGACACAAGTGTTTCCTGCTTCAGAATCTGTCCTTTGTGGACAGAGCTATATTTGAAGGAGTAGACATTGGGTTAGGGTTTGATTGAGAGTGTCTTTGTTTTGTAGAGGGAATCTCATTTAGTATGCAAAGACAGAAATATCAAACTCGGTAGATTTCTGCCACCTCAGTTTTCCAATGCAGGCCTAAGTCAGCCAGCGGTGCTTAGAATATCACATTTATTACATGAGAGAAAACATACTTATTTTGACACATTTCTAGTGAGTTACTATTCATAATAACTTTCCTCTACATAAGCAATCCTCTGCAGTCCGTCTCAAGTGTATCTGGAACTGAATATGTTAACCACTACACACATAATGAAAAACAATTTTCCTCCTGATTTTCAATCTCTCTCTTACTGTTTTTGAAATGGTGTGTCCTTACATAGATTTGGCTGTTTTTGGACTCACTCAATAGACAAGGTTGACTCAAAAACCTAGTGATCTGCCTACCTCTGCCTTCTGAGGACCGGATATAAATACTTGAGTTTTTAAATCATAAAATAGACAATAGTAATATGGTTGGAACAGATAGGAAGAAGAGATAGTAAAAAATACATGTAAGTGTATGAAGTATATGTGGTACACCCTATGGACCCTAGCACTTCAGAGCCTGAGGGAATTGAATCATGAGTCATCTGGCCTGGGCTGTACACTGAGTGGTACCACAGCAGAAAGAGATGGAAGAAAACTTCATGGAGACATCAAGAAATTTTTCTTGATCCCATTCTTTGTATTTCTGTGTCTCTGTCTGTCTCTCTTTTACTCTGTCTCTCTGTCTCTCTGTATATCTGTCTCTCTCTTCTCTCACTTGCATGTGTGTTTGCATTTGTGTGTGTTTGTATGTCTTTCTATGTGTTTAAGTCAGTTTCTTTCATTGAAATGACCAATGGCTTTCTCTGGTGATGAATACACTTGAGTTGATTAAGAATTTGTTGGGAGCCTGAAATCTTTTGCTGTTCAGGTCCTACAGAGAGACCCACCTGCCTGAAATTAAGGCTCTGCCTGTCCCATTCTTGTAGTAACTGACCCTATGGACATTTCCTGTATTGCAGCATTGGTGGGGGTTCTCAGTTTCCCCATGAGACGCTGCTCTCCTCTCCAGGACCATGCCCATGGGAGCTCTTGGCTGGCAATGTAAAGCACTTATTTTGCAAATGAGTGGGCCTGCAGTGACTGCCTACCTTCTTGTCAAATGACACACTTGAGGGGAGGGGTATCTGTCACCCTGACTGTAAACCATATATAGAAGAGTCATTCATATTACTAGATAGCCATCCATAATAGATACCAAAATAAAATTGCAAAAATTCAGGGATCAAAATCAATTGATTGATTTATCCTCTATGGAGGGAGGAGCAGCTTCTGGGCACAATTTCAGGAGACCTAGGCTGGGAATTTGCGAGTGGATTGAATCACCATGGTTATTTTCCTGTCCTTTAGGCCTAGTGAGTCCCTCCAGACACCATGCACTGGAGAGAGGTGATAGAAGTGGGCAGCATTTAAGATGACATTCTGAGGGAAATATCTCAAAATCCCTTCTTCAGTCCTCTTGAATGTATTCTGTGTCCTTTCAAAGATAGAATGTTGTCTCCCTTGTAAACCTAGCACAGTAAGCCTAGAAGTTCAAAGTTAAAGGGCAGAACTCACAAGTGAAGGATTAATATTGTGAGGTAATGAGAAGCTGAATTGGGCAGTCAGCTTGAAAGAATAGTTGTATTTAGGATCTTCTCATAGCACCCTATTAAGGAAGAGTGTTTCCAAGGAGGATTAACTGAGGAGAGGCAAGACCATCAATGAAATTTGGTGGAGTCATCCCTGGTACTGTGAGTCTGGAATACAAAGCAGGAAAA